TTAACAAACATAATAAGGAATCAGAACACATTACTGGAGAAAAATCACTTAACCACAAAGAAAGATTGTAAGGGAGAAAAAGGCAGAGAGGAACTACAATAAAACTTGAAAATGGCAGTAGTAAGTTCTTACTTATCAATAATTACCTTAAATGCAGGTTGATTAAATTTCTCAATTAAAAGACACAGTGATTGAATGGATTTTAAAAAAATACCCAGTTGTATGCTGCTTTCATGAAACTCATTTCACCTCTAAGAATATGAATAGAATGAAAGTGAAGGGATGGAATGAGATATTCCTTACAAATCAAACCCAAAAGGAAGCAGCAGTAGCCAATAAAAAATTTTAAATCAAAAGCAGTAAAAAGAGAAAAGGTCATTATATAATGATAAAGGGTTTACTTCAAGAGGAAGTAACAATTATAAATATATACTCAAAATCAGGGCACCCAAATACATAAAGCAAATATGAATAGACCTGAAGGTAGAGAGAAAATAATGGTAGGTGACAAAGCAGTCTATTTTCAGGCATTGACAGGTCATTTAGACAGAGCATCAGCAAAGAGTTAAATTGCATGCTAGATCCAACCAGAGCGAACAGCTGTCTCCAGAACAGCCACCCAACAGCTGCAGGACACATAGTCTTAGCAGCACCTGTAACGTGCTCAAGGACAGATCGCATGGTAGATCATAAAACAAGTCTCAACAAACTTGAAAAACAGGAATCGCATCGAGTATCTCTTCAGACTACATTGCAACAAAACTAGAAATCAATAACAAGAAAAACTTTGGAAATTGTATGAATACATGAGAGTGAGGCAGCTAAACCTGAACAACCAGGGATCAAGGAAGAAAGTAAGAAGGAAATTGAACAGAGTATTGAAGCAGTGAACAGAGACACACAACATACGAAAACCTGTGGCATACAGCTAAAGCAGTACTGAGAAGCTTATATCAATCAATTCCTGTATTAAAACTCATAAATTTGGGGCCGGCCCTGTGGTGCAGCAGGTTAAAGCCTTGGCCTGAAGTGCTGGCATCCCAGATGGGCACTGGTTCTAGTCCCGGATGCTCCACTTCCGATCTAGCTCTCTGCTGTGGCCTGGGAAAGCAGTAGAAGATGGCCCAAATCCTTGGGCCCCTGCACCCACGTGGGAGACACGGAAGAAGCTCCTGGCTCCTGGCTTCGGATCAGTGCAGCTCCAGCCATTGTGGCTATCTGGAGAACCAGCGGATGGAAGACCTCTGTCTCTGTCTCTACCTCTCTCTGTAACTGTCTTTCAAATAAATAAAAAATAAATCTTTAAGAAAATCATAAATTTCTGATAAACAATTGTACCTCACAGAGCTAGAAAAATGAAAACAAGTTAAAATTAGTAGAAGAAAGGGAGGGAATAAGAAAGTACAGAACAGAAATAGCCACTAAAAATACAGAAAAAACCTGTTTTTTTTTAAAGATAAGAAAAATTGGCAAACCTTTGACTAAGAAAAGGAGAACTCAAACTCAGAGGAAAAGAGAAGTGCTACAACTGATCCCACGGAAATATATAAAAAGTTGGAGATTACTATGAGCAAATATATAGCCACAAATTTGATAATTTAGAGGGAATTGACAAATTTCCAGACATACATACCTTACTCAGATTAAGTTGTGAAGATACACACTACTCAAATAGACTAATAACAATTAAGTCTCTCAGTAAAGAAAATTCCAGAACCAGGTGGCTTTGCTGCTAAATCATCAAACATTTAAAGAATATTAGCAGTTATTAATTTCTTCTAAAAAATAGGAGAGGAGAGATTTCTTCCACTCTCACTCTATGAGGCCAGTATTACCTGGATTGTCGCTCCCCCATTCGCGGAGGAACGACACAGGACCCTGCGCTGTTCTTCTGTCTGCTCGGCCCTCCCCGGGTTTGCTGCTGGTTCTTCCCGGGTTGGCTGCCAATCCTTCCACCTCCGTGGAAGGGTGGCGGTTCCCCCTGCCACTTTCCCCACTTCCGCGGGGGAGCGGCACACCGCTGGCCGGCTCTCTCGGGGGCTGCTCAGGTGTTCCTTCAGATAGATGTTCCTCTTATATGTTCCTGGTGCATGTTGTCTCTCTCCTCCTTTATAGTCCTCTTCCACCAATCCCAACTCTGCTACCCACACGCCGAGTACACTGCTCTCCTCCAATCAGGAGCAGGATCAGCTCCTGCAGGTTATTGGTCGAACTGGAGGCAGCTGTGTAGAAGTTGTTTATTCCTCTCCCAGCGCCATATTGTGGGAGAGCAGATGCATAGAATAAGTCTTAATTCCAGTAACCTAGTCTAGTCCGAGTTGCTCCCCACACTGGATAACATATCAGGCAAGAAAAAAAATACCAAAAAGAAAAACTATAGTCCAATATTCCTAATGAACATAGGCACAAAAATTCCCAGCAAAACACCAGCAAGCCAAACTCCAACACCACATTATAAAGATTATTTACCATGATTTAATGGGATTTATACCAAGGGTGTAAGGATGGCTCAACAGATGCAAACCAATAAATGATAGACCACATCAACAGAATGAAGGACAAACAACATATATCTCAACAAACATCTCAAACAAACATCTATCTCCAGTAGAAGCAGAAAAGGCATTTGGTAAAATCCTACATCCCTTCATGGCAAATACACTGAACAAATTAGGTGTAGAAGGAATATACCTGAACAAAATAAAAGCCGTATGTTAAAACTAACAGCTAACACCATACTGAATGGACAAAGTTGAATGCTTTCCCTTTAAGATCCAGAACAAGACCAAGATACCTTCTTTTGTTAAAAATTTATTCATTTTTATCTGGAAGACTGAAAGGGAGGGAAATATGGAAGGGAGTGGGGGAGAGAGAGAGATCAACCTTCCATCCCCTGGCTTGCTCACCTAGGGCTGGGCCGGGCTGAAGCCAGGGGTTATGAACTAATAAATAAATTCAGCAAAGTTAGGGGACACAGAATCAATGTTTAAAGATCAGGAGTGCTGTTATACATCAATAGCAAATTATCTAAACAATCAAGATTGCAATCCTATTTCCAATAACTAAAAATAAATACCTAGTTGGTTAAACTTGGAGGTGAAAGATCTCGACAATAAAAACTATGAAACGTTAATGGAAGATACTGAAGAGGGCACAAGGAAAAGACATGCATGGATTGAAAAACCAACATTGTTAAATGTCCACATGACCCAAAGTGATGTGCAGATTCAATACATTCCCTATCAAAATACTAGTGACATTTTTCACAGAACTAGGAAAAAAACCATTACTAAAACTTGGGAACCATGAAAGACCCCAAATATCCAAAGCAGTTTTAAGTACAAAGAACAAATCAGGAAGCTTTAAAATATATTATAAAGCTACCACAATTAAAACAGCATCATATTGGCAGAAAAACAGACACACAGGGCACTGGAACAGAATAGGGACTATAGTGGTAAACTCACATATCTATAGTCAACTGATCCTTGAAATAGGTGCTAAGTGCCTGTACTGAAAAAAAGGACAAACTTTTCAATGAGCAGTGCTGAAAAAATCGGATATCCATTTGCAGGAGAAAGAAGCTAGACACTGTTACTCACCGTGTGCAAAAATCAAGCAAAATGGGCTAAAGACCTAAATAATACCCTGTGGGGAGCAACTCAGACTAGACTAAGTTACTGGAATTAAGACTTATTCTATGCATCTGCTCTCCCACAATATGGCGCTGAGAAGGGAGAAGCAGCTTCTACACAGCTGCTTCCAGTTCAACCAATAAACTCCTGATTGGAGGAGAGCAGCGTACTCGGCGTGTGGGTAGCAGAGTTGGGATTGGTGGAAGAGGACTATAAAGGAGGAGAGAGACAGCATGCACCAGGAACATCTAAGGGGAACATCTATCTGAAGGAACACCTGTGCAGCCCCCGAGAGAGCCGGCCGGCGGTGTGCCGCTCCCCCGCGGAAGTGGGGAAAGTGGCCAGGGGGAACCGCCCTTCCACGGAGGTGGAAGAGACGGTAGCCAACCCGGGAAGAACCAGCAGCAAACCCGGGGAGGGCCGAGCAGATAAAAGAACAGCGCAGGGTCCTGTGTTGTTCCTCCACAAAGACGGGGAGCGACAATACCCCAAACTGAAACTACTAGAAGAAAATAGGGGAAATGCTTCAGCATATTGAGACAGGCAAGAGCTTTTTGGATCAGAACCCAAAAGCTTAGGAAACAAACTCTCTATGTAGGTGTATATCCTTAATTAATGTTTTGGTAGGTGAGGTGTTGGCCTGTTTAACTCAAGTAAGTTTGTTAAAATGTCCTACCGTCATACTAGATTTATATGTTTCTCATGATGATTCTGTCAGTTTTCATAATATACATGTATCTATTATATGTGTGTTACCTATTCTGAAACTAAGTTGTTATGGGCAAGTTGTTTTGGAGCCAAAATTCTTGTATCGTGCTGTGTTTCCAGGCCATGCGTCTTGTCTCTCTCTGTGGTCTGTCATTTTTCATTCAGTTTTCAGAGACTCCCTTTTTCATATCTCAGAAGCCATTCCCTTTTCACCTGCCCTGGTGTATGTAGGGAATCCTGGTAGTACCAGGACATGGGCTTTTGATGCTTGGTGAATGGTAGAAGTAGTTCAGCAACTTGAGCTACCAGGTCTGTTGACTCTCCTAAATTCTTGTTCATGACTTTCCCTGAGAAAATGGTCTTTAAATGAATGATTTTTAGATTAGAATTTAATATGAACTAAAATTGTATGCACATAAGCCCATCATGTAAGAAGGGAAGAATTGCCTTAGAGAAAGAGTTAGACAACATGGTTTGCCCTCAGAAGGCTAAGTAGCTTACTGAAGGGACTACAGATTACACTAAATTCAAGAAACATGGGAAGGTAATTGGGATATTGAGCCTCTGGAGAAATTGGGAGCCATATATGAAGTTTTGAATACTAATAGCTGTAACTGTCAAATTCTCTACTATTAAATAATGTAAACTTTTTTATAGCCAGTGACTTCATAATTTCATCGAGACTAAAAAATGGCGAAATTTATTCCCCTTGATTTTACTACTTTAATTCAAGAAGAATGTGAAGAAGAAGGCAAGAAAAAAACAAGGTAAAAAGAAGATATGGTAAAATGAGATTTTGTTTTTCCCTAGAGTATTTCAACACTAGATGGCTAGCATGGTGAACCACTGTAGGCATACTGTGACCAGCCACATCAGCCAGGGCACTTGGGCTGTTACTACTTCAGCACCCCATATGTGCCAAGGGTGGAAAGGAGTAAGTGGATAATGACAAGGATGGGTGTTCATGGCTGTCCCTGAGCTCCGCCTTCCCCCTCTCAATATTCCACTCTCCCTGCCCACAAGGCCACCAAACTAAGGAAAGAGTGGTGTTGAAGGCGGAGTACTGAGGGTTCATTGAGGGGCAGGATTGCTCATGTAGAGACGGGAGAAAGGGTGGGGGTGGGGAGGTTAGTACAGTTTCAGTGGAGGAAGCTTTTCAAGATGTTATAAACCAAATAGGGACTCACAACAGGAACTGTTCATAAACAAGAAGTTGTGTCTTATTTGTCCCTGAAGAAAAGTTTACTTATGCGATTAAGCATTTTTATTTAACAGACCAAAGGCACTCCCCCTCCCCCAGAAATACAGATGATCTGTCACAGAAGCCTGCATTTCTTCTGCCTTCTTAAAGTCTGCTCTCCTGAACAGATTATAGACAGTAATTTAGGATTTTGTTCTTGAAGTTTTTTTCAACATTTACAGAGTAGACAGTTGCCTGATGTGCTGTGGGAAGATTTTGGTTTTAATCCTTAGAGGGGTTGAGTTCTCTACTTTATTGTCATAAAGGAGAGCAATGCATAAATACACAATTTCAGGACACTGTTCCGAGTTCATTCTGCCACCTACCTAAGTGGGAACATTTCTTCATCTAAAACGAGATTGATTTTCTTATACCTTCTAGCTTTACATTTCTAGTAATAATATATGATATTTATTTTTATGTGAAAACCAGTTATACCTACTGGAGCACTTAACTAGACTTGCAGTGTAAATGTTCCAGATCTTATTAATAGACATTATATTGTACTATAATGTACAAAATAAATATTCAATCTTTAAGTTGTAGAGAATGTTAACCATAAGAGGCTGTTTCAGTTACAAAAGTGAAACTTCAGGTGGTTGGGCTAACAGTTCATTATTTATTGGTGTGATTGTTAATTGTTTACTTGGAATATATTTTGTCCTACCAGACATCAGACATGTGAAGAGCAGCAATCCGAAGAAATCACAGAATCAGAGAATCAACCGTCTGAAACAGATGAGCAGGGAGCCTTGGGATATGACACAGGGAAGACGCTCCCTGTGCCACTGAAGGCAGAGAAGAAACAAGAAATAGATGAGGATTACTATCCAGGCATGTGGATTCATGTTTTATTTTATGGAGACCGAATGAAGTTTTCCTATAACATTAAATTAGGAAAACAAGTGGGACTGGTGCTGTCAAGTAGCAGGTAAAGCCACCGCCTGCAGTGCCAGCATCCCAAATGGGTGCCAGTTTGAGTCCTGACTGCTGAACTTTGGATCCAGTTCCTTGCTACGGCCTGGAAAAGCAGTGGAAGATGGCCCAAGTCCTTGGAACCCTGCACCCACATGGGATACCTGGAAGCAACTCCAAGCTCCTGGCTTCGGATCGGGTCAGCTCTGGCCATTGCTGTCATTTGGGAAGTGAACCAGCAGATGGAAGACTCTCTCTCTCTCTCTCTCTATTTCTCTCTCTCTCTCTCTCTCTCGCCTCGCCTCGCCTCGCCTCTGCCTCTCTGTAATTTGGCCTTGCAAATAAATTTTAAAAATCTTAAAAGAAACAAGTAAGACACACAGAAATACTACAGTTTACTTTGAAAATATAAGGTTTGGTGTTTTATTAATTAGATTAGTCATGGCAATTATCTGTGCCATCAAATACAAAGCTCACTTTTTAAAGGGAACATTACCCAAATGCTGATAAACAAAAATAACAATAGAGATATCACCACCACCAAGGAGGTTGGACATTTCTGTTTCTATAGCAACTTGCAGTTGACATTACTCTATCTGAATATTGTCGCTCCCCCTCTTCGTGGAGGAACGACACAGGACCCTGCGCTGTTCTTTTGTCTGCTCGGCCCTCCCCGGGTTTGCTGCTGGTTCTTCCCGGGTTGGCTACCGACCCTTCCACCTCCGTGGAAGGGCAGTTCCCCCTGCCACTTTCCCCACTTCCGCAGGGGAGCGGCACACCGCCGGCTGGCTCTCTCGGGGGCTGCACAGGTGTTCCCTCAGATGTTCCCCTTAGGTGTTCCTGGTGCATATTGTCTCTCTCCTCCTTTATAGTCCTCTTCCACCAATCCCAACTCGGCTGCCCACACGCCGAGTACGCTGCTCTCCTCCAATCAGGAGCAGGTCCTACAGTTTATTGGTTGAACTGGAGGCAGCTGAGTAGAAGCTGTTTCTCCCTTCTCAGCGTCATATTGTGGGAAAGCAGATGCATAGAATAAGTCTCAATTCCAGTAACTTAGTCTAGTCCAAGTTGCTCCCCACAGATCCCCCTTTCTTTTTATTTTTTGGCGTTGATATGCCCCGTGGCACACACTCTGCTCTGCTTGCTGGAGTTGCCCACAGGTGCTTACAAGCCCTACCAATAAGGCAAACCGAATCCGGGTCCTCTCTTCGCCATGTTGTGAGGAGGTTTTTAGGCGCTGATGCGTGCCTGTGTTCGGTGCCCCGCAGCGCATGCTCTGCTCTGCTAGAACTGCCTGCAGGTGCTTACAAGCCCTAGCAATCAGGCAAACCGAATCCAAGCCTTCTCATTGCCGTATTGTGGGGAGACTTATTAGTGTTGGTTCGTGCCTATCTTCGGTGACCTGCAGCTCATACTCTGGTCGAGCTGCCTGCTGGTGCTTATCGCCTAATCAGGCAGACCGAATCCAAGCCTTCTCATTGCGGTATTGTGGGGAGACTTACTGATGTTAATTCGTGCCTGTCTTCGGTGACCTGCGGCGCATAAGCTGGTAGCCGCCCGCAGGTGCTCACCACCTCCCTAATCAGGCAGACCGAATCCAAGCTCTCTCATTGCCATGTTGAGGGGAGGCCTTATTTTTCTCTATTTCTCTACCTCCGGGCATTCCTATCTCTCCTATTTTACTTCTATCTGCCAGCATTCCTATTTCTCTCATTTTACTTCTAAACTTCTGTTTCTCTTATCCCTGCGGCTTCCCGGCGCCCGCCCCGAGGCTGCTTCTCGGCAGCTTCCCGGCTCTGAGCCGCTTCAGCCCGCGCTTCTCTCATCTGCGCGGCTTCCCGGCTTCCCGGCTTCGCGCGCGCACTCCGCGGTCTCCGTGCCCACACCACGGCCTTGCACTAGCCCCACGTTCCCTATCTATTCACACCCCACGCGCTCTCTCTGCACGCGGCGGCTTCCGCGAGTCACACAGCCTAGCTCACGTTTCCGCCACCGGTTGGTTTAGTTTTCAGTCTAAGTTTCCCGGGCTAACCTGACGAAATGCAACCTATAGCTTACGTCTCCGCTCCCGGTTTGGCTTCCCGTCTTTTGCTCCCCGGGCTAATCTGACGGATTCCAACCTGGCTTACGTCTCCGCCTCTGGTTTTAGCTTTTCGCCTTTTGTTCCCCGGGCTGACTTGAAGAATTCCAACATAGCTTACGTTTCCGCCTCGGCCTGCCCCCGCAGCTTCAATTTCCCTAACATTTTTCTCTACCCGGTATGTTTCCCTAAGTTTTCTTCCAACAATATTCCTCCCTCACTTCTGGCTTCTCCCCACAGTCCGTATCCGAGTCTGTTTGTTCTAGCTTTCACTTTTGCTTTCGACCTTAGCGATTTCTCCCAGCTTCCCCCCGTAGTCCATATCCGAGTCTATGCCTAGGCTTTCAATAGCTTCTTCCGGCACCTTTTCTGTCCGGCTTTTCCCTAGGCTCTTTGCTAGTCTCTCTCTCCGGTATTTTCCCACTTCTTCCCGCTTCTTCCCTCCTAAGTTTCCTATCCGAGTCACAGCACCATTATGTTGCTCCCCGTCTTCGTGGAGGAACAACACAGGACCCTGCGCTGTTCTTTTGTCTGCTCGGCCCTCCCCGGGTTTGCTGCTGGTTCTTCCCGGGTTGGATACCGACCCTTCCACCTCCGTGGAAGGGTGGTTCCCCCTAGCCACTTTCCCCACTTCCGCGGGGGAGCGGCACACCGCCGGCCGGCTCTCTCGGGGGCTGCACAGGTGTTCCCTCAGATGTTCCCCTTAGATGTTCCTGGTGCATGTTGTCTCTCTCTCATCCTTTATAGTCCTCTTCCACCAATCCCAACTCTGCTACCCACACGCCGAGTACGCTGCTGTCCTCCAATCAGGAGCAGGTCCTACAGTTTATTGGTTGAACTGGAGGCAGCTGAGTAGAAGCTGCTTCTCCCTTCTCAGCGCCATATTGTGGGAGAGCAGATGCATAGAATAAGTCTCAATTCCAGTAACTTAGTCTAGTCCGAGTTGCTCCCCACAGAATATCATCTAACATGCATAGTTTTTTGTTTTTGTTTTAGTTTTGAGATGACGATCTCAAAGAAAGGGTAACATTTTCTCAAGATCCTTGTGGCTTCTGGCTGTGCTGTGACTTCACTTGCTCACCATGGTCAAAGGAAGAAATGATAACAAAAGGGAGGGCATTATACTCACAGACAAACGCAGCCTGAACTCTCTCATGCATGGAGTCTAAAATAGTTGGTCTCATGCAAGTTGAGGAGAGAGTGGTGGTTATCACAGATGGGGAGAAGGGGGAGAGGGAAGGGTGAAGGCAGGTTTACTAGTGAATGCTCATTTACAATTGGGGATGAGAAGTTTGGTTCCTGGTGCATAGTAGGCTGATTACAGATAACAATAATGTGCTGTATATCTTTTAAAATGTTAGAGGAATGGGCCTTGGATGTTTTCACGATGAAGTTATGATAAATGTTGGAGGTGCTATGTAGCCCAGAAATGTAGACACTTTCAAGTGTCATTTAAAAATAAAAGGAAGGAGTATTCTAAAGAATCAAATAATATTGATAACTTACATAAAACAAGGCCTGAAAAAGGCCCATTGACCTTACTGACCTGAGTACTGTGCTGTTTGGGTGGAATTTCAAAGCCAGACTGGAGTGGATTATGAAAGGAACAGCAGATGAGGAAATAGAACAGTTATTTTAGCAACTGTTTCTGAGAAGTTCAGCGGTGACAAGATTAATAACTGGGAAGAGTTGTGGCCAAAGAATGGACTTTATTTAAGGTGGGAGCTGCTTGGTTATGCAAAAGAAAAAAGGAATAGTTAAATAGTGTATGCGTGGAGAGATGAGATCTAAACAAAAGGTGGGAACGTCCTGGCACCTTGACTAAGTCGGGAGGAAAAAAATGAGTGCAAATGTGGGTTGCTTGGTTTGTTTGGCAATGGCTAGGTGCAGGAATTCCCATCTGATGCCTTTTATGTTTCCAGGGAATTAGGCGTCGAGATCAGATGAAGGGGAGAGACTGGAAGGTAAAGGCTCACGGATTTTAGGAGTATGACAATCTGAAATAGCCATTGGAAAGGATTGGAAGACCAAGTTAATGATACAATAGGATTTCTTATAGGCGTGCAGAGTCTGTTCGTGGTTAACTGAAATGAATTTGGGAAATGACCAGTCCATCTAGTTGTGGAGCTTAATGTGGGATGCGCCACTATAGAAAGCTTATAGATTTGGGTTCACCCAGGGTTGATGCTTTGCCATATAGAGCAGAGAGAGCGCTAAGGATATTGGCAAGAGTGTGTGGAAAGACAAAATAAACTACTCCGTATAATGAGAAGGGTGAACGAAAATAGAAGGATGATGGGTTGTAAGAAAGCTATGGGGCAATCTGTTGGAGGTCATGATGAAGTCAGAATTCTTTGGGAGCATGGAGGCAGCCAGGAAGATGAGAGAGCAGCTGATGATGGACACTAGGATGTAACAGTAGCCACACATGGAGCAACTATGTGGTGCTCAGTCATCTCTTCTTTAAGTTGACCTGAAAATAAAACTGTTATAGTAGACATAGCTCAGAGTTGCTAGAATCTGTTGTTATGGCTCAGCAGGTTATCACCCTGGCCTGAAGTGCCGGCATCCCATATGGGCGCCGGTTCAAGACCCGGCTGCTCCATTTCTGATCCAGCTCTCTGCTATGACTGGGAAAGCAGTGGAAGATGGCCCAAATCCTTGGGCTCCTGCACCCATGTGGGAGACCTGGAAGAAGTTCCTGGCTCCTGGCTTCAGATGGGCGCAGCTCCGGCCGTTGCAGCCAACTGGAAAGTGAACCATCGGATGGAAGACTCTCTCTCTCTCTCTGTCTCTCTCTGTCTCTCTCTGTCTCTCTCTCTCTCTCTCTCTCTGTGTGTGTGTATATGTGTGTGCCTCTCCTCTTTCTGTGTAACTCTTTCAAATAAATAAATAAATCTTTAAAAAAAAAAAGAATCTGTTGTTCTGAAGTGTGGAGAGGTGCTGCCATCTAGAAGGAAGGAGAAAGGAGCACTGGTAGCAGAGAAATCCTACTCCATGAACACTGAAGACATCCAAATGATGGCAGCTTTGATACGCCCAAAGTGGGCCTTTCTGGAGCCAGAGTTCTGGTTCACTGAGTGCCCAGGCCATCCGTGGGTGTCAATGATGAGTGCAGGAGTATCGTGTGCCAAAAAGACGTGCACTTCAAAGGAGCAGGATTTTATTTTGTACAGAGGACAAGTTGGAATGATTTGGGAGTGGTGAGCGGGAGCAATGGGGGCAAGAAGCCTAATTTTCAACCTCGGGGTGTCCTGGAGTGTGGGAGTAAAACCAGCAGCTGCATGAGAGAGTTGTGTGTCAGCGATGTCCTCAGGCACAGCTGGGTTCCTGTTAAGGCAAAGAGGTGGCAGAAACTCAGAGTAGGTTAAAGATAGATGAAAATTTTCACAACCTCTCACATATACTGTCATTGTGATCTGAACAATGCTTTCATTTTCTTTTTTCTATTATATATATATATATATATAGAGAGAGAGAGAGAGAGAGAGTGTTATAGAGAGAAGGGGAGGCCCAGAGAGATTCTCCATCTTCCGGGTCACTCCCCAGATGGCTGCAGCAGCTGTGGCTGGGCCAGGTGGAAAAGCCAGGAGCTCCATCTGGGTCTCCCATGGGAGTGACAGAGGGCCAAGTACTTAAGCCATCTTCTACTATCTTCCCAGGTACAATAGCAGGGAGCTGGATTGGAAGTGGAACAGCCAGGACTCCAAGGGACGGTTTGATATGGGAAGCCAACTTTGCAAGTGCTGGCTTGTCCCACTGTGCCACCATGACGGCCCCCAACCTCTGTTTTCTTGTCTTTCATCCCCCAGTGTATCCCCTTCTCCTCTACCCTTTACCTCTCAACTGAAAAACCCCACCGCCTTTCATCACTTGATTCCCTGGAACAGGACAGGTGTGTGGTCTCTGAATATGCAGACTAGATTATCTCTGTCCTCTGAATTAGGAGGTGGCTGAAATAGAATTTATCAGGTTATTTCATATGTACTTGTTTTCTTTGTAATTTTTGTCTTACCCCCTATTGCCTTGTAGCTCAGCAACTTGTGCTACATAAATATTTATTAAATAAATGAGAATGAGTACAATCCATTTACCTCTTTTAAAAACCTTATTTTGAATAACTTCTATGTGCTGAAAATCTACCAATTAGGCAAGCCTTAGAAGAAATACGAAAAATAGTCCTTTTACTACTTTGCTACATTTATATAAAAATATGTTCTATATTCAGGTAACAAATTACAGTTAGTAAAAAAGATTTTCTTCTATTTCATATGAAGAGTCACACTTTCATGATTTAGAGTAGTAAAATCAATTGCTTCTCAACCTTGTGGCTAAGATCAAGTGTAGAGTAACAATAAAACCAACAACTGCTTTTTACCTTAATGAGCACTGTGTGCTTTAAACGAGTTAATTCTTCGAACAGGTCTAAGAGGTTCTTAATGCAGAAATCCTTCTTTGGGAGATGAAGAAAGCAAAGTAGACAGATAACTAAGAAGGTGCAAATGCAGGAGTGATTGGCCACACTTGCATCTGAGCTTGGAACCAAGGCAGTTTGGTGCCGGGCCGGTGCCTTTAACCACTGTGCTCTCCTGCCCCACACGATGAGCAACTGTGTTGCTTGGTATGTGTATATGGTATTATTTATAGTGCATGCTAGCCCTTCCATTAACTGTGGTTTTATTTTCAGATTATATGAAAGAAGCTATTGCTCAACAACGTGTAGTTGTTCCAGAACCGGATTCTCCTAAAAAGAAAGGGAAACTAAAGGATATAAAGGATGTCCAGCATGTTTGTCCAAAGGTCAGGAAAGCCACGTATGTGCATTATGATAACACAGGTATGTGTATCGCTGAACCTGCTTGTTCAGAAAGCACACTGCTCTTTCACATGATTTCATGGCTTGTGCTGGTTTTCCGACGGCCTTACCGAATTCTCTGTCTGGTTGCTTAAAGAACTGTTGAAGTGATTTTGAGTTTAGAGAATCTGAACTATCAATACATTTGAAATTTGCCAGAGTGTTAAATGACTCTAGTCTTAACTAATAGTTTCTGAAAGTTGTGGCTTTCTTAGGCAGGTTCATTATGGCTATAAGAGAAGATTTTTGAACTGCACCTAGATAAATAGATAAGCTTAGTTTTTACTCTGTTCCGTACTATTTTTTTCACGGCTTGCCTCTGGAAACTTGACATTTCTTGTCCATGTCTTTGCTATTTGTTTTCTTGCCTCAATGTGAAAGAGAAAGGCAGGCCAGTCTTCCCAAATTTCCGAGCTTAAAACCCACTATCTTGAATGGGGCCCATACACCCAGCAGGCATTACCCTCCAATGTGTAGTATAGAATATGAAGGGGCACAAAAGGTTACGAAAAAGCAGAAGTAAAAGATAAGGTGAGTTTTCCATGATCTTTTGGAAGCCCCTCATGTTTTTGTTTTTAGTAAAAAGTTCATGATTCTGTTAGGAATTAATCCAATTCTTTTTTTAGGAAATTTTCCAGGTTTTTGGAAGACAAGTGTTCCTTAAATTTGCTACTTACTCTGAAAATCATTCTTTGCTGTATTTGCCTTCATTTGCCTCCATTTTCCTGCAGCCTATAAGACCCATGAAATATACCAAGTCGGGCCGGCGCTGCGGCTCACTAGGCTAATCCTCCGCCTTGTGGCGCCGGCACATGGGGTTCTAGTCCCGGTCGGGGCGCCGGATTCTGTCCCGGTTGCCCGTCTTCCAGGCCAGCTCTCTGCTGTGGCCAGGGAGTGCAGTGGAGGATGGCCCAAGTCCTTGGGCCCCTGCACCCACGTGGGAGACCCGGAAGAGGCTCCTGGCTCCTGGCTGCAGATCAACACAGCTGCAGCCATTGTGGCCAGTTGGGGAATGAACCATCGGATGGAAGACCTCTCTCTCTCTCTCTCTTTCTGCCCATCCTCTCTGTAACTCTGACTTTCAAATAAATAAGTCTTTTTTAAAAAAGAATTTTTAAAAATATTTGGTATATTCATGTCAATATTATATTAGTTTCTTATAGCCTCTTATCAGGTTATAAAAATTCACTGCTATTTTAAATTATATTTTAAATTTGCAAATGATAACTTGTGTTAAGTTGCTAAGTTCTAGGGAGTCAGATTTATCATCATATTTTAACATGGTTAGATTCTTTTTTAGGAAATCTTTGATATCTCACATTTATAAATATACTGTCCCATAATTTTTCTATTATTTCTATGAATTGTTATGCATACTTCTCTAACCCACCCATAATCTATGCTTGCATATAGCTGCATACTTTTCTAAATAGCTTACCACTCTTCCATTAAGATTTACTTTTTTACTTACTAAATTGTCTTCTATATGAAGTTCAGTTGGTAGGCATTAATCTGTTCTGTTCCTCTGTTTTCCATGTCAACACCACACTATTTTGACTTCTATAAATGTGTTTTTGTATCTAGCTATAAGGTAACTCATCCTCTTGTTGGACAGCCACAGCGTGTGCCATCTCCTCTTACATTTCAGTTCCTCTTCTTCTCTCCGATACCCATGGTTAGCTAACTTTGTTTTCAATTAAGTATTTTTAATGTGTTTCCATGTTTAAGCAACTGGAGGAGCCCAAACTAGGGTGACAAGCAAGGTGCCTACGGCACAACATTTAAAGAGGCATTCGTTCTTAGAGTCGCACCAGTGTCTTATCAAGGCAACACTGTTTCACATAAGAGCATAAATCTCACTTAGCCCTTCCCAAGGAAGGGTCTGAGGGGTTTGTGCTCTCTGGAGGGCCAGAAATCAAAAATAACATCTTAGATGCCTGGGTCTGCCTATGTGTCTTTTGTGTGCTTCTCCCATTATTTATTCTATTAAAACAGTTTAAAGATCAACAGGACAACCTGTACAGATTGTTGAAAATAAACCAAGAAAAGAGACTATTTCCAGTAGGAGAGCCTTGCTGGCTGCTGGCTGAGAGATCAGGAAAGGTACAGTCAGATAGGCATCCACTGGATGCGTGTCCTGAAGAATTTTTCCCTCCTGCGTTGCCATCCCTCCTGCCTCCACCTGTTAGGCCTGTAGTGAAGAAAGGCCTTATAACTGGCTCCTCTTCCTAGTCTCTTTTATTGCTCACTCTCCGTATAATTGTGGAATTGGGCCTTTTGTCCTATACGAAAGGCATATTTTCACAATTTAAGTTTTCTTTATTAAAGAAATATCTCCCACCTGCTGGTTCACTCCCCAGAAGCCCACAAGACCAAGACAAGGCTGAGCCAAGCAGGCAGCTGAGAACCCACTCCAGGTTTCCCACACTAGAGACAACACTGTGGCCTACCAGGGTCTGCATTGGCAGGAGGCTGGAGTTGGGCCCTGGAGCACTCTGGTGCACAACATGGACGCGTTAACTGGGGTCTCAATTCCCAGGCTAAACATCTACCCCTGGCCATGTATTTCTTAAATAGATAAATACTGTTTCTTCTTTTTACCGTATGTTAAAAGCTAATTTTATCTCTATTTCTCCTCTAATTGAGTACTGTTTATGTGAACTTTAAGTTATCATTTAAATTTTTATACAGAAGAACTTAAAATGTTATGTTATAACTAAGTGGTGACTCTAATGGCACTTATATCAGACTTTTACTTCAATATTCTATACCAGAACCAAAAGATGATGATGTGATAAGAAATATCATTAGGCTAAGAGAAAGACTGGACTGGCAAACTACATTACCACAGCACAGTTTGAAGCATAGACCTTGTGAAAAGTATATTCCAAAGAATATATTAAAGGTATTATTCTGTTTTATTCCATTTGAACTATAAAAGTTATTTGAAACTGTATCTTTTTATTTATTTCATTCAGGTCAGATATTATGTCAGAATCGGACATTACATTAAGATTAAATTACAACCATTGCTGCATTGTATATGCACATGAAAGTATTTGATGTCATTTTACTTATTTAAAAAATGAAAAATGGATCAGCTGGATCAGTTTGTAAGCCTATGATGCTTAAGTGTTTGTCTCTTCTCTCTCACCCCTTCTTCTGACTGAGCAGGTCCCCAGAAAGGGATACCATCTGCCTGAAACCTGAATCTAATCTTCAGTGCTGCCCTATCAATTTGTGTGTGTGATCGGCAAAGAAATCCCAGTGTGATTCTGTAACATTGTGTCCTCAGTTATTTGCTGGTAGCCAATTTCCATATCATCGTCATCTCTGTTCCTTTGTCCTTTCCTCTTTCTCCTTATTCATTAGCCTCTTCCTTCAGAGGAATTGTATCTTGCCCAAGGTCACTTGACCAAGGGTGGAAGCTGGGATAAGACCCACGGTCTCCCTCTGCTCCAGAGGCCTCATGTATTACGGCTGATAGGATTGGCCAGGGCTGACTTGTTCCTACATGAATCCCTACTACATGAGGGATTCTGCAAGTACAGTCCCCAGACAAGCACCATCAGCTTCACCTCGGAACTTGTTAGAAATACGGATTCTTGGCCAGTGTTGTGGCTCAATAGGCTAATCCTCTGCCTGCGACGCCTGCAAACAGGGTTCTAGTCCTGGTTGGGGCACCGGATTCTGTCTCCAGTTCCAGCTCTCTGCTGTGGCCCGGGAGTGCAGTGGAGGATGGCCCAAGTGCTTGGGCCCTGCACCTGCATGGGAGACCAGGAGAAGCACCTGACTCCTGACTTCGGATCAGCGCGGTGCACCAGCCGCGGCGGCCATTGGAGGGTGAACCAACGGTAAAAGGAAGACCTTTCTCTCTGTCTCTCTCTCTCACTGTCCACTCTGCCTGGAAAAAAAAAAAAAAAAAGGAAAGAAAGAAAGAAATACGGATTCTCCTTTACTCCTCAGGCCGCCTAGTCCAAAACTCTGGGGACAAGGCCCAACACTGTAGTTTATTAAGCTCTCCAGGTGATCTGATGCACTGTTAAGAACCGTTGCTGCAAACCAGGATCAACAAACTTTTTCTGAAAAGGACCAGATAATAAATAGTGTAGACTTCGCAGGCCAGATATTCCTTTTGCAACTAGGCATCACTGTCACTGTAGTGCAAAGGAATTGATAGTCCATTAACAAACAGATGGGACTGTTTGTTTTTTGTTTTTAATCAAAAACGGGTCCCTGGCCTTGGCCATAGTCTGCTCATTGCTGCTTTTCATAGTTCCTATGAGGATAAATGTCTTGGTTGTTGTTCATAGGCCACACAATGGCACAATGTAAAGGAGAGAACTTGCACCAGGGCATCAGACTCACCTTTCTGAGTCTCTGTACCTGCTCTGTGTGTTATCTTGGGCAAGTTCCTACCCTCTTTGGGTTCTATTTTCTTTGACCTTGAAGTGAAGATAATAGTTACCCTAGAGAGAGTTGTGAAAATGGAATGAGAAAAAGCAGAAGGCAGACACAGTGGTTAAAAAAAAAAAAAAAAAAAAACAGCCAGTGCCACAGCTCAACTGGCTAATCCTCCACCTGCAGCACTGGCACCCTGGGTTCTAGTCCTGGTTGGGGTGCCTGTTCTGCCCCGGTTGCTCCTCTTCCAGTCCAGCTCTCTGCTGTGGCCCGGGAACGCAGTGGAGGATGGCCCAAGTGCTTGGGCCCTGTATCTGCATGGGAGAACAGGAGGAGGCACCTGGCTCCTGACTTCGGATCGGTGCAGTGCACCGGCTGCAGCAGCCATTTGTAGGGTGAACCAACGGAAGGAAGACCTTTCTCTCTGTCTCTCTCTCACTAACTGCCTATCGAAAAAAATAATAATAATAATAAATAAACCATAGCTACACATGGGTGCCATAGACATTCAAATAAGGTATGTTTCATTTGTATGGGAAAAAATGGATGGAGAATATGAAAAAAAAAACTTGCTTTCAATTGAAAAACAAAAATTTAATTGGAACATATTATGCTTTTATAATTGAATTTTAATTTACATATGCAGTATGTTTAGAATAATTGTGTCTGACTTAAGTTTCTAGTAACCTCACATCTTGAAACATTGTTCAGAGAATGCATGGCTTAAGTGGCCAAATACCCATAAAAAAGCCCATGCTCTGAGCCTATTGCCCTTTTTGAGTTAGAATTGTTCTGTTTAGTTTTCATTTTATTTGAAAGACAGGGAGGAAGAGGGAGAGGGAGAGCGAGTGAGAGAACAAGAGATCTTCCTTGATGGATTCATTCCTCAAATGCCTGCAGCAGCCAGGGCTGCCAGGCCCAAAGTCAGGAGCCCAGAACTCAATCCAAGTACTCCTTTTGGGTGGCAAGGACCAGGTACTTAAACCACCATGGCTGCCTCCCAGGGTGCACATCAGCAGGAAGCTAGGTAGGAAGCAGAGAAGCTGGGACTGAAACCAGGCATTCTCATGGCGGGCGCAGGTGTCCCAACTGGCAGCTTAACCACGGAAGCAAACACCTATTCCTACTGGTAGTTTTTAAACTTATTTTTGAAGGTTTCTTAGATTATATCAGAAACCAAAATAAGAGAGTGAAACAACTAAAACCATTAAGAAATGAGTAATATTCAAGGAAGACCCCCCCAAAAAATATGGTAAAAATGGATTCGAAAACCACAGTAATGGGAAACTATTTACTCAATTTAATAACTTCTGAGATGAATCACTAAATACTACGTGCTTTTTTAATAATAAAATTCAACTACCTAGAGTAGACTAAATTAGGCTTCTTTATAGTTTTAGTATTGTTTTCATTAATAACAGTTAACCATTTTAAAGTTAAAAGAACGGAATTTCACTTAAACATTTTTCTTAATGGAAAATGACTGATTTCTCAGTAATGCCAAGTAAATGAAAGACAGGCATTACAGTTTATTGCATGGTTCAGAGCATGGTTCTAGTCAGACTTGGATTTAAATCCCCTGTTTTTTCACTAAATGAATTTGTGACTTTTCCCAATCACCCAAATCATCAAGTTATTTCTACATATATTGAATGGAATCAAAAGTATCAAAACTTAATCCCTTTCAATTTAGAGACTGAAGTGTTGGGCATTGCCCAAAATCTCCATTACAATATGGCGCCTGGTGGATGTTCGAGGGGTGTGTTTGTGGCTGCCTCAGTTAAGCTAGGAGAGATCAGACCACCGACAGGGATAGGTCCACTTTAGTTCCAGACACATGGACAGTGCGTGATCCCTATACTTTACTTAAGGTGCCCCTGTGCATGGTCCACCCGTGCCTGGGTGACCTTTTCTCTGATTGGCTCCCCTACTGCGCATGTCCTTTGTAAGCTTTATGAGCCTGTAGGCTTCCTCAATAAAGCGGTTCCTGCTTTGACAGAACTCATGGGTGCTTGTGGTGTGTACTTGACCCGTCGACCTTACCCTTCCCGTTCACCTTGTTGGGGAGTGTACTGGCCCTTGCTGGTCAGGGGCCAGCCTCGGACTCGAAACCCCGACAAGTGGTGCCCAATGTGGGGCCCGACAGGCTCTAACAAGCCCTAAAGGACTGAATCCGGCCGGAGAGAGGGACTGACTACGACCTAAGTGAAAGTACTGGCCGACGTGGCTAAGCGAGGCTCAGGGTAAGGTATCCGTGAAAGGATGGGTCAATTTCATGCTAAGTTTGAGGACCCAGCGCCTAAGGTGCTGAGATACATACTAAAGACTCAAGGCTTAAAGCCACACAAAAAATCTTGCACACCTAAGCCGGTTGATAAGAAACAGATGGGCTGGGTGGCCTTTGATGAGAAATGTCAGGAGGCTCATAAATCCCCAGAGGCAATTAAAACTCAGGTAGAGCCTTCAGGTGTGGCAGTAACCCCTAAGGGCCCAGCGCTGCCTCAACCCACCGTGCCTCAATTACAGAGGGGAAGTTCAGCCTAGTGCTGCCCATGTGGCCACCCCTTTATGGATATTCTCCTCCCTTGGATCGCCCGCCGCCATCTTGTAAACAGAGCACCTACCCAACCCCAGGGCCAGTCCTGTGCACAGTCTTCCCTGTAAATGGCCTTTCTCTGCACTCTATTCCAGTCAGCGTGGCCTGCCGCACCCACGCAGGCATAGCCAGATATCTCTAGGGAGAGTACTCCCTAGGGCTACTTTTTTCTCTCCATTTACAATTCAGTGTCCTCCTCACTGGGAGAGGGAAGGAAAAATGCTTTTGGCTACTACTGGCCTTACCTAAGGGAGCCAGAACCTTAATCTATTAACCCTTTCCAACCTGATGGGTCTTTCTCTTTACAGTTAATGGAAACCTAAGCAATGGGCTCCTATGCTGATGATCAGCTCTTTTCTGTGCTGCTGTAGCTAACTTATCTGATGAGAGTTTGCACATGTCTTGAAGTTTTCGTGTTTTTCTATTACTGAGTGAGTCTTGATTGGAAAAAATTACAACGCAAAGTTTACGTTATTTGCCTGTCTTTAATGTTTGAGTGATTACCTAACTCTGATCAGATCTACCCCACAACCTTGGTTAAAATACTCAGGTTAAGTGTACTAATTTTTAAGCAGTTTGACTCTCTGACAGTTTAAATTCTAAATGAAGTCTTCCAACTTTGGGACTTCCAGTCAGATCCCTGGAACTCTCAAAGGATGGGACTCTAAATTTGTTAAAGTAACAGCTGTTTGAGTCAATTCAAATTATACAAAGTGTATTAAAATGTTAAAATGTATTTGTTTTTGCTTTCCAGCTGAAGTGGTCTTACATTCTGTGTATACAAGTCTTTACATGTTCTTAATATGCTTTAAACTTGTTTCTTTTACAGATCTGTTTTTGCAAAAAACTGTAACGTCTCTTTTTTAACAGTGTCTACTTAATTTGTTGCTCTGCCATTTCTAGATTTAGGTCCTGTAAGCTCTTTTTGACTCTGTTAAACAGTTCTAAGTTATGTGATGCTTTCGTGTGCTAACTCTTATGTTCAAGGTTTTTATTTCTGGTTTATTCAACAATAAGAGACCTAAAATTCATGTTCTGCTAAGGTAATCTATTATGTACTATACTGACTCTGTTAAGTTTAGATTGATAAAAAAAACTTTAAATCTTAAAAAGCTATGTTAAATATCATTATCATTAAATCTAGTCTAAAGGTGTTAAAATCACCCTAATTAAATAAATGGCTGTCATTTCAGAATGTTAAGGAATTCTATTCTAACCAGATACTCTAAGTTCTCTTGGCACCTTTAACAAACTTTCTAAAAATCAAAGTTCTAATTCTCTAAACTTCTGGTATCTCCAATAGGGCCCCTGGAGATGTCAAAACATATATCTCTCATATTACAGAAATAATAACCAATTGGGATGTTTAAATTTAAAAAGTGCTGCCAAGATGTAAAATGATTCAACACTCTACTAAAATTCCTCACAACCCACAAGGACAAACAATCATCAAAAAACAAAATACCAACTTATAAAACACAAAGGGGGAATCATACCGCAACAAGACCAGCCACGAATGGCCATGCTCATATTTTAAATTTTCCAAAACATCTGCCCTTGTCAGCCTTTTACAAACATTGGTCCCTCCAAGTACCCTACCTTTTGGTTAGGGTAAAATGGAAGGACCCACTAACAGGATGCTGGCGAGAACCAGACCCACTGATAGGTGCTGGTAGAGGATTTGGATGTGTCTTCCCTCAGGGGAATTCCAATCCCATATGGGTACCTGCAAAAAACCTTAAATATCTCCCCTCTGCCAAAAAAAAAGTCACCCAGGAGGACCCCCTCCTGAGGAGTAATTTTTCTTTTCTCTCGAGGGATAAAAAGACCATATTGGATTCTCTGCCTCATTGTGACTGGATCATCATGGTACATCAGGAGTGCTGCTTTTAAGCTAATCACTCTGGCATTGTCCAGGACAAGATCAAGACCCTCCAAGAAGACCTTGACCTGTGGTCGGGCCTTGGGGGATGGCTTCCTTATCTCCTCCCCTGTGTGGGCCCCTTAGTCTTCATTGTCCTTGTAAATTTGTCTAAGTTTGCATAGCTGCAGTCCAGTTAATGGTGGTCTGACAACAATATGCCACTCTTCAAGAACCGGGTTATGCGCTCTTCAAGTGCCAGATTGGGAACCCTGTGCATCTGCCCACAGCCACTGCCAAGATGTAGAGGTTAATATATCATACCCTGAGTTGCTGAGGTGGTAGCCAATGACGGGTAAGATCCCCTGGGACAGCCCCTAACAGCTGGAGTAGTAGTCAAAAACGGGTAAGATCCTCAGAGGGGGACAACCTAAGACATGCTCCCTAAAGGGCTAATCCCAATGAGAGGGACAACCTAAGACAGGCACACTCTCCACTCACTTCCTCTTCCTCTCTTTAATATAAAACAAAAAGGAGGATATGTTGGGCATTGCCTAAAATCTCCATTACAATATGGCGCCTGGTGGATGTTCGAGGGGTGTGTTTGTGGCTGCCTTGGTTAAGCTAGGAGAGATCAGACCACCGACAGGGATAGGTCCACTTTAGTTCCAGACACGTGGACAGTGCGTGATCCCTATACTTTACTTAAGGTGCCCCTGTGCGTGGTCCACCCGTGCCTGGGTGACCTTTTCTCTGATTGGCTCCCCTACTGCGCATGTCCTTTGTAAGCTTTATGAGCCTGTAGGCTTCCTCAATAAAGCGGTTCCTGCTTTGACAGAACTCATGGGTGCTTGTGGTGTGTACTTGACCCGTCGACCTTACCCTTCCCGTTCACCTTGTTGGGGAGTGTACTGGCCCTTGCTGGTCAGGGGCCAGCCTCAGACTTGAGACTCCAACATTGAAGCTGAGATTAAACTCTCATGTTTGTAAAGAAAATGCATGTGAACTCATTATTTATTAAGCATTTATTAGTTACTGAACAAATATTAACTATTTTTATTATATAAACCATCATTGTTAGAAAACCAAGTGCGAAATTTAATGTGCCAAAAAGGCTTCTGGTGTTGGCAGGCAAACTTGCTGGAAGTAGCCTTTACATCTATGTAAAAGGGATGTCATCATGTTCTGTGGCTTATGAAGTACGTATCCATAGCTTACAGATAAAAGTTTCCTTATGTTCTGTCACCACATAATGTTTAGTAATGAAAATAAATATGCTTAATTTTCATAAGATTGATTTCTTTGAACTAGAATTAGATTTAATTTGATGTTAGCTTTCCTCAGTGATATTTTTATCTGTATTAACATAGCTTCAATTTACTGGGTGATTTTTTCAGCCATTTCATTAGGTGATGTAATCAAATTAGTTAATTATTTTTTAACCTCAGCAACCTTTGGAAGATGATGGAGAATTTGTATACTGCCTTCCTAGGGCTCATCCATCAAATGCCCTTTACAATCCATATGATCTTCAAGTAGTCTCTGCCTACAAGGCTAGAGAGAACAAGGAATTTTGGACTATTTCTGCTTCGTTTGTCACAAAGGTAATATTTAATGCATGTTTCAGCTTTCAGAATTGTGACAGAAAAAGACTCAAATTAGAACTTGATAACATAAATTTATCTTTGTGTTTCAGGAAAAACCCAGTCCCTTGAGAACAGTTTATATTTAAGAAACTTCTTGGGACAAAGTTAATATTAGTGCCATTTTTCTTTTTTGTAGAGATTTAGGTTTCAGAGTTGAATTTTAGGAGATTTTTTTTTTACTTCTCAAATCCTTCAATATTTGTTGTAATTTTTAAAAGAACTAGAAAACGGGCCTTTGCTGGCATAACATGAATGATAACAGTAAAGAAAAGAATACCCCCACCACACATTTGCCAGAACTCTCTTGCCAGACGTGGAAATCCCTGTTATGCTCTTACATAGTATTTGCTAATACAACAAGTTATAATTATATACTCATTTTGATTATTTGTTTAATATCTGCCTGCTTGCTTTCTGTCTTCCTCATCTCCCAAATAAAATAAACCATGAAGTACATGTGAGCAGGACCACATCTGCACGAGGTAGATTTCTCTGTGTGTGTATGTGTGTGCATGCATGTGTAGGTACAGAAATATTTCTAACATGCAATGTCAAGTGACAATGGAAGGAGCAGTATCTGTGTAAATAAAGATAGGCACGTAGATATATGCGTGCTGTTGGCATAGGCATGCCTTTGTTTCTTGAACTTGAAGAAAAGTAACATTTGGCTAGAAGAGAGAAACTCTTGGGGAGAGAAAGAATTCCTTGACAGAGAGCATGGAGCTTTTTGAATGGCACAATGGGGTATCTAGGATTATAAGCTTCTTTGGGCTACTCCATCTCTGTACATAAGATGAAGGACATATATACTACTTTTATAGAAAAGGTGAAGATTTTGAGGCTCAGAATTTGGATAACAATTGGGAAAAGTATCTCAGACAGAAAAGGAAGCTCATTTTCTTTGCTGGAGCACAAGAAATAGCATGACAGAAAGGCAAGTTCAGGAGCAGCATGATACGAGTTGATGAAGTGCCTGAGGGTTCAGCTGTAGGAAAGGGTTAATTATAAATGCAGGTAATTGTAAGCCAGATAACAGCTTTCTTAATTTCTTGAAAATAGCAATGTCTTTTAAAGAAAGTAAGTTATGGTTTTGTGCTTTGTTATTGTAGATTGATAATAAGCATGGGGACATGGATGCAGTAGAACTCACACCTACTTTGAGATGGCTATCAGAAAGAAAAAACTGCTACTTATTACAGCAATTCAAGATATTTTCCAATTTCCGGTGAGATGAATGCAAACTTAACCAATTCTTAGTCATTTGAGTCTCATGAACTATAATAATGACATATTCATGGGGAATTGTAGGGGAACGAGGGTATTCCATAAAATCTTTTTAGATTGAAAACTTACTTAACAATTAAAACTCTTAATGTGAAATATCATGGGGGCTGGCCCTGTTGTGTAAAGGGTTAGGCCCCTGCCTCAGGTGCCAGAATCCCAGTTGGGTGTCAGCTCAGGTCCAGGCTACTCCACTTTCCATGCAGCTCCCTGCTGGTGCCCCCAGGAGAGCAGTGGAGGATGGCCTGCTTACTGTGGCCCCTGTGCCCACATGGGGGACCTGGAGGAAGCTCCTGGCTCCTGGCTTCAGCCTGGCCCAGCCCTGGCCATTGAAGCCTTTTGTAGGTGGGGGTGGGGTGAACCAACAGTTGCAAGATCTCTCTCTCTCCCGTTCTCTCTCCCTGTATTTCTGCCTTTTTAATAAATAAAATAAATCATTTAAAAAAGAATAATTTGAATATTGCAAAAATGGTATTTTACAGTCAAGTAAACTTAAACTGTATTGATGTTACCTTTCTCCAGGCGTTTATTTTATGAAATGAATATTGACTTTATTTTCATTCTGTTTGAAAGGCACACATAGACAGACAAAAGATCTCTGATCTATTGGCTTACTCCCCTAATGCCCACAACAGCTTCGAGCTTGTTCAGACCAAAGCCAGGAGCTCTGAGTCTTCCATCTGAGTGACAGGGACCCAACTACTTGAGCCATCATCTGCTGCCTCTTAGGGTGTGCATGATCAGGAAGCTGGAATCAGAAGCAGAGCCAGGACTTGAACCCAAGCACTCATCCATATAGGATGCAAGCATCCCAAGCAATGTCTTAATGACTGTGCCAAACACCCACCCCACTTTAGAGTCCACTGAAAACCAGGCATTATTCCAGATGCCGAGGATACTGCATTGAGCAAATTAAATGAGTCAAGTTCTCAAACTTAATTGGTAGTAAGAGATAGTAAACAAACATGTAAATATGTAAAATGGCAGGTAGAGATTAAATTATGAAGGTAAACAAAACAGAGATTAAGATCCCCGGGGGCAGCTTGTTGATGTGCAAAAATTTGTCTAGTTCTCAGGTACATTCCATTCCATCATATTACATCAGGATTCCTAAGACTCTGATCCTTCATCAAGTAATGCCCTGACTGTTCTTTTAGTGTTTGTACCTAGTTTTATAATTTTCTTGGTTTTTCTCAAACGTCTACTTTTTCTTGCAGTCTGATGTTATGTGTTGGGGACTCAGAAAAGAAATATTTTTGGAGGCCAGCGCTGTGGTGTAGTAGGTTAAGCCTCTGCTGCCAGTGCCAACATCCTGTATGAGAGCCAGTTCGAGTCCCTACTGTTCCACTTCTAATCCAGCTCTCTGCTTATGGCCTGAGAAGGCAGCAGAGGATGGCCCAAATGCTTGGGCCCCTGCACCTGTGTGGGAGACATGGAAGGAACTCCTGATTGGGATACTCCCAACTCTGTCCATTGAGGCTATTTGGGGAGTGAACCAGCAGATGGAAGACCTCTCTCTCTTTCTGTAACTCTGCCTCTTAAATCAATAAACAAATCTTTTTTATTTTTTTGGAATACAGATATTCTTTTTTTTTTAACTTTTATTTAATGAATATAAATTTCCAAACTACGATTTATGGATTACAATGGCTTCCCCCCCATACCGTCCCTCCCACCCACTACCCTCCCCTTTCCCACTCCCTCTCCCCTTCCATTCACATCAAGATTCATTTTCAATTATCTTAATATACAGAAGATCAGCTTAGTATACATTAAGTAAGGATTTCAACAGTTTGCTCCCACACAGAAACATAAAGTGAAAAATAATAGATGATTTTTTTTAAATGATGATGAAATCAGATCAGACCTATTGTCATGTTTAATCCCAGTGAGAGTCAAGTTGGGAGTTGATAATTTCTTTTCTTTTCTTTTCTTTTCTTTTTTTTTTTTTTTACAGAGGATCAGTTTAGTATACATTAAGTAAAGATTTCAACAGTTTTCACCCCCATAGAAACACAAAAGTGAAATATATTGTTTGAGTACTCGTTATAGCATTAAATCTCAATGCACAGCACATTAAGGACAGAGATCCTACATGAGGAGTAAGTGCACAGTGACTCCTGTTGTTGACTTTACCAATTGACACTCCTGTCTATGGCATCAGTAGTCTCCCTATGCTCCAGTCATGAGTTTCCAAGGCTATGGAAGCCCTCTGAGTTCTCCGATTCTTATCTTGTTTAGACAAGGTCATAGTCAAAGTGGAGGTTCTCTCCTCCCTTCAGAGAAAGGTACCTCCTTCTTTGAAGACCTGTTCTTTCCACTGGGATCTCACTCACAGAGATCTTTTGCCAGAGTGTCTTGGCTTTCCATGCCTGAAATACTCTCATGAGCTTTTCAGCCAGATCCGAATGCCTTTAGGGCTGATTCTGAGGCCAGAGTGCTATTTAGGACATCTGCCATTCTATGAGTCTGCTGAGTATCTCACTTCCCATGTTGGATCACTCTCCCCTTTATTTATTCCATCGGTTAGTGTTAGCAGGTACTAGACTTGTTTATGTGCTCCCTTTGACTCTTAGTCCTTTCATTATGATCAATTGTGAACTGAAATTGATCACTTGGAATAGTGAGATGGCATTGGTACATGCCACCTTGGTGGGATTGAATTGGAATCCCCTGGTATGTTTCTAACTCTACCATTTGGGGCAAGTCAGCTTGAGCATGTCCCAAATTATACACCTCTTCCCTCTCTTATTCCCACTCTTATGTTTAACAGGGATCACATTTCAGTTAATTTTTAACACTTAAGAATAACTGTGTATTAATTACAGAATTAAACCAGTCATATTAAGTAGAACAGACAAAAAAAAAAAAAAACTACTAAGAGGGATAATGTATTAAGTTGTTCATTAACAGTCAGGGCTATGCTGATCAAGTCACCATTTCCCATAGCGTCCATTTCACTTCAGGAGGTTTCCTTTTTGGTGTTCAGTCAGTTGTCACCGATCAGGGAGAACATATGGTATTTGTCCCTTTGGGACTGGCTTATTTCACTCAGCATGATGTGTTCCAGATTCCTCCATTTTGTTGCAAATGACTGGATTTTGTTGTTTCTTACTGCAGTATAGTATTCTAAAGAGTACATATTCCATAATTTCTTTATCCAGTCTACCGTTGATGGGCATTTAGGTGGGTTCCAGGTCTTAGCTATTGTGAATTGAGCTGCAATAAACATTAGGCTGCAGACTGCTTTTTTGTTTGCCAATTTAAATTCCTTTGGGTAAATTCCAAGGAGTGGGATGGCTGGGTCGAACGGTAGGGTTATCTTCAGGTTTCTGAGGAATCTCCAGACTGACTTCCACAGTGGCTTGACCAGTTTGCATTCCCACCAACAGTGGATTAGTGTCCCTTTTTCCCCACATCCTCGCCAGCATCTGTTGTTGGTAGATTTCTGAATGTGAGCCATTCTATCCGGGGTGAGGTGAAACCTCATTGTGGTTTTGATTTGCATTTCCCTGATTGCTAATGACCTTGAACATTTTTTCATGTGCCTGTTGGCCATTTGGATTTCCTCTTTTGAAAAATGTCTATTGAGGTCCTTGGCCCATCTCTTAAGTGGGTTGTTGGTTTTGTTTTTGTGGAGTTTCTTGATCTCTTTGTGGATTCTGGTTATTAACCCTTTATCTGTTGCATAGTTTGCAAATATTTTTTCCCATTCTGTCGGTTGTCTTTTCACTCTCCTGACTGTTTCTTTTGCAGTACAGAAACTTCTCAATTTGATGCAATCCCAATAGTTGATTTTGGCTTTGACTGCCTGTGCCTCCCGGGTCTTTTCCAGAAATTCTTTGCCTGTGCCAATATCTTGAAGGGTTTCTCCAATGTTCTCTAGTAACTTGATGGTGTCAGGTCGTAGATTTAGGTCTTTAATCCATGTTGAGTGGATTTTTGTGTAAGGTGTAAGGTAGGGGTCTTGCTTCATGATTCTGCACGTGGAAATCCAATTTTCCCAGCACCATTTATTGAATAGGCTGTCCTTGCTCCAGGAATTAGTTTTAGATCCTTGATCAAATATAAGTTGGCTGTAGATGTTTGGGTTGATTTCTGGTGTTTCAATTCTGTTCCATTGGTCTATCCATCTGTTTCTGTACCAGTACCATGCTGTTTTGATTACAACTGCCCTGTAGTATGTCCTGAAATCTGGTATTGTGATGCCTCCGGCTTTGTTTTTGTTGTACAAGATTGCTTTAGCTATTCGAGGTCTCTTGTGCCTCCATATAAATTTCAGCACCAATTTTTCCAGATCTGAGAAGAAGGTCTTCGGTATCTTGATTGGTATTGCATTGAATTTATAAATTGCTTTTGGGAGAATGGACATTTTGATGATGTTGATTCTTCCAATCCATGAGCATGGAAGATTTTTCCATTTCTTGGTATCCTCTTCTATTTCTTTCTTTAAGGTTTTGTAATTTTCATCGTAGAGATCTTTAACGTCCTTGGTTAAGTTTATTCCAAGGTATTTGATTGTTTTTGTAGCTATTGTGAATGGGATTGATCTTAGAAGTTCTTCCTCAGCCGTGGCATTGTCTGTGTATACAAAGGCTGTTGATTTTTGTGCATTGATTTTATACCCTGCTACTTTGCCAAACTCTTCTATGAGTTCCAATAGTCTCTTAGTAGAGTTCTTTGATCCCCTAAGTAAAG